AAAGAAAAAAGAAAAATGAGCAACAAAGTGTCACATTTTTAGGATCATTATCTTCCGATTCTTCTCGCTCTCTCTCTCTCTCACTCTCTGCTTCTCTTTCTCTCTCTCACTCTATACTTCTCCTTCTCTCTCTCTCTCAATTAATTGAAATACTTAACACACGAATGTGGCAAGTATCTGTATAAATGTCTGTGCCCGAGACTTGTGTAGCACCAAAAAAAGAAAAAAGAAAAAAGAAAAAAGAAAAAAAGGAACCTGTTTTAGCACTGAAAATTTTACAGGCTGGTTTTGTCCGGTTACGTCTTCCTCTGAGACGCTCTGTTAACGCTCGGGATCTTTAGCTAAACTGGATCTAGAAATTTTGCTAGATCCTTTAATTTTCTTTGTAATGGAGTAATAACAATAACTATATGATTATTTGTATGTATGTATGTATATGTCTATATAACTGTATCTATATCTGGTTCAGTGTCGATGTTTTGCCAGATCCTTTTATTTTCTTTGTAATGGAGTAATACAAATAACTATATGATTATTTGTATGTATGTATGTATATGTCTATATAGCTGTATCTATATATTTTGTCAGTGTCAATGTCCGATCCAGCGTCTATGCCAAGGTCATTTGTCAGAGTCTAGTGGCATAACGAGAAAACTGAATGCTGAAAAAAAGTAAAAATCAGAACTAGGTAGAGAAGTTTAGTCAGGAATGGCGACCCCATATGATAAAAGGACAAGAAAGAAAAAGAAAAATAATAATTGAATAAGAATGGGGGGAGGGGGGGGATGTAAACCCCTTCACCCCTATCTTTCCTTAGCCACTTTTTATTTATTTATTTATTTATTATTATTTTTTTCATGTTATTTTCATATCTAGCGGCGATGACTTACGAGGCAAGACAAATAGAGAATAAAACCATAGCGACTGATCTTAGTGATTTATACCTAATTTTGCAGGAGGAGGAGGATGAAGAAGGAGGAGGAAGAGGAAGAAGGAAGAGGAGGGGGAAGAAGAGGAGGGAGAGAAAGAGGAAGGGGGAAGAAGAAGAGTACGAGAAGAAAAAGAAAAGAAGACGGAGAAGATCAAGGAGAAACAGAAGAAGAAGAAGAAGGAGGAGAAAGAGGAGAAAGAGGAGGAGGTGAAGATAACGAGGAAGAATGATAAAAAAGAAATGGCAACCCTTCTTCCCCATCATGGGAGTCCTGGCCCATGCGTTCTAAGAAAAACTTTTTGTCATGCGCCTTGATTCCATGACAGACAGGGATAGTTTGCATGTTCAGCGACGAGATCTTTCCCCTGACTACCATGCCCTACACAGCGCAGAGGATTCTTTCTCAGGCCGGACGCTATCATCTTAAAATGAATCCTCAGTCACACTGACAGTTGGGGAGATGGACCTGCATAGAAAATGGTAGGGTGTGGGAGGAATTGCATTTGTCGCTGTGGTTATTATGTTTGGTATTACAGGATGTCTGTTTAGATTGCTTCTAAATTACCTCGTGTCCAAGGAATGGCCGGGGTTACCATCCACTGGCAGTGCGGGATTTGAACGCGGGTCAGTAAGATTGTCAGACGAAAACGATTGCATATATACATATATATATATATATATATATATATATATATATATATAAATATATATATATGTACACACACACACACACATACACATGCACACGCACACACACAATATATATATATATATATATATATATATATATATATATATATGTGTGTGTGTGTGTGTGTGTTTATATATATTATATGTGTGTCTGTACATATATACACATATATATGTGTGTGTGTATGTGTGTACATATACACACGTATATACATATACATATAAACACACACACATACACACACACACACACACACACACACACACACATACACATGCACACGCACACACACAATATATATATATATATATATATATATATATATATATATATATATATATATATATAGATAGATATGTGTGTGTGTGTGTGTGTGTGTGTGTATGTGTGTGTGTTTATATGTATATGTATATACCTGTGTATATGTACACACATACACACACACATATATATGTATATATATGTACAGACACACATATAATATATATAAACATAAATATGAAAGAAGAACGAAGAGGAAGAAGAAAAAGACAAATTAGAAGACGTAGAAGAAGCAGAAGATGAAGAAGGAAAACATCATCATTAAAGTATGTCATTCCCTTACGGATTTGACCCCAAACATCTAAAAAAAAGAAAAAGAAAAAGAAATGAAGTTCTAGGTGTAGTTCCACGCACGCCCAGTAATGCAAATTCGAAATGCAAAGTCCAGTATGGTATTTAAAAACTGGAAAATCCCTCAGTTCAGCATCACAAGTTGTAGCACATGTTGTAGCATCTAAGAGCTTGAATAGCGTATCGCTTGGAGAAAGGAAGGGTAGTTGCAAACAGAATTCTTACGTGAACATATACATACACAGTATACTTATATACATAAATAT